GAATAACGAATAACACGGAGCAGTCCAGGCCATGTACTCACAACCCATCCCTTTGGCACAAGAAGTCAACACAGTGGTCATTGCTTTAGCTTCGGCCTTGGCGGTGTCATCCGCGCCGACATAATTCTACTAGTCACTGCTAGAGTCGCTTGACAATATTTCTCTCAGAATTTTGCTTTGCACCCGCCATTGCGCTCGCTACAAAGAGAAAAACAAGAAGAGAAAAATTTCTTCATCGTAATTCAGGGCTGCAACTGTCAGCTTGCGCGACAAATCGTTACCGTTAAAAGGTGAAAGTAAAAGTGGCAAACGGTGCGCCTTCTAGAAAGAATTCAAGAGAACCGGCCAAAAAAAAACAACTGAGAAACGGGCTTCTATTCTCACCCATTCATCTGCAATTGGACGAGTTTAAGCTGCGGTAAAAGTTGTTCGGGGAAACTAGTGTTGGCATTATACCAAGGGCGATCGATAGGCTGTCACCGCTCCAATGAATGGGCAACAAAGCGCTTAGAAGGGGAAACTTAACGACGGCAGCTACGATTTCATTCCAAACAATTTGTGAAATACTGACCTACCCCTTAAGGGTGCGAACCCACATGTAATTCACATCGAATGACAATTCCCGGCGATCTAACATGGCCATCCCGCGGCCGTGATGGCCCGGAACGCCCACCGACAATCACTCACTAGTGACAAATAATCATTATTAGATAGCAGAGAGAGCGTAAGCGTTGAAGAGGGCACAGCGATGAGAGTCGCATCAATGCGGAAATCAACGGGCAAGGAAGGGGTCCCATTTCTCGGGTTCTGGGCCGTTTCTCATGGTTTCTTCTTCATCTCTGCTTCCACTGACCAAATCTACCTTATTTCAAATATGTGCAGCTCACGTGCCGCCGTTCTGGAAATATGTCTGTAACAACGGATCAAGTGAAAAACAATAGAACTGATCTCGAATCTATGTTAAGGTTGTTCATCTGGCTGTGCGATGCTACTTTATGGTGGCTCTGCTAGGACGGCAGTACCTACTTCCGGACACTATCAGGGAGAGAAACATCGACCAAGCCAAAACGGTATTTTTCCTTCATTTATTTAAGAAGCATTTTGTAAATACCTTTCATTGATCCTAATTTCTACTAAATAATGCTGCCTCCACATCTTCCGTATACTTTTTGCCGAGGAAGAGGCGCTCATAGATAGAGCTGTGAGTTGTATAGCAAGATTCTCCTTGCAGATCGATCTCTACGTGCCAATCATGTCAATTCTTCAGTTCATCTTCTTCGTAGGTTGGATGAAAGTGAGTCTATTTTT